GCCTAGGCCATGTCTAGGTCGGGCTGTCTAAAAAAGCAACGTATCAGCACAAATGCTACCTAATGCTTACAGCATGGCAAAAACAGATACTAAAGTGACAGTCAATTCCACCGCACGTTTGATAATGAAGCATTTTTTTCTTCTTCACGTATTGCCCTTTAAAAAGCTGTAACAAACAATTTGGGCTGTTTTCATCCCTGAGGGTAATTAACCTCATTCTGTCTCATAGGCCTCAGTATGGAGACCTATGAGACAGATGTTTGTGTTCCCATCAACTCCGCCAAAAAGGGACACATCACCGTATGGACCTATCTTAAATACACTCATTTAACATTTCGAAACATCAACGCTATTCATGTTCGGTGAGTGTCATTAACAACCACGCCAACATCAAACAATACCAAAATTCCAATGCTCGAAATGTGTGGCAAAAAAGATAAAAGTTAAACTGAAACTGAGGTCAAGGCCTCACTGAAACCGAGTTGATGCCAATTAGGCATCGCTCTAGAGCTGACGCCCCCTCCCCCCACAAATTGAACGGTGGTAGTGTTCTCGCCATGGAGTCTCATGTTGAGTGTCGTGGCCAATTTCATGTCAAGGAAGTCATTTTCTGTTATGATGTATTCTGTCTGTATCACACATTGTTGTTTTTCGTATTACTACTTGGAATGTATATTGATGAACTGCCTATTGATCGCAGCGTGGTGCTCTATGCAATGGATAATCTGGTCTCCACTGATTTCGCTTAACAGCGGCACATTCACTCGTTTCGCCCTAGCGCAAATACAACTCAGAGGATTAGGCTGTGCATTGGCTTATTTGATCTCCAAAGGTCAAGGTCTGGTCAAGGTGTAAAGTGCAAGTTCATGCCACTCGGGTACCTGGCCAACGTTCACGGTCACACCGTGTGATCACTCTTCACACGTCAGCGCTGTGGCGTGTGACGACTCGTGTGACTCACACGAGTCATCTAGAGGACCGACAGCAATCCAGGATAGGCACCACAAGAAAGCCGACTTTATGACGCATTCAGTGGTGATGTTGTTGCCATACATGAGCATATCGCTTTATGCTGAGGCACATGGGATTTAGCACTCCATGGTGAATCTACATCGCAAAAACAACACCAGCATTCAATCCTTCGTAAATCAGCTTCGTATCAATGACTTTACAGCATAATTTAGTTTTAGTGAAGCCTCGATCTTAATTGATCTTTGATCTTATTTGCCTCACGTCATTTCCAGCATTATAATTTTGATGTTGCATGATGGCGGCATGGTCGCTCGTGCCATTCATCTAATCTGAACAGCTTTCGTGCCTAAAAATGTTTCCACGTGGCTGATAAATTGTATTTGTATGCTATGTTTAATGTGCATTTTCATTACGTAGTTGTATATGGTTATTCAGTGGAATAGATAATGCAATATACCTACAATCTAAACCTTAAAATCTGCAATAGACTATCTACAACTACATAATCAAAAGTATTTTTGCTACAAACTCAAAACGCCGTAAATTTCGACTCCTCGGATGCCCTGCAATGACTGAAAATCATCTGGTTGGATATAAAGTGAAACAATCTCCTGTTACAAGTGCATGCAATACCGCTCTAAAGAAAGATAACATTTTGTAACATGCGACAGAGATAAGACGTTTGTCCTATTCGCAAGGCATGTCAATAACTTTTCAAAGTATCGTTTAAGACCAGAGCGGTGTGATGCATACATATGAGCGATTAAACATTTGATAATTTATTACCACCATAGGAAACCTAAACAGTCACGCAGAACACATTTATGGCACAGACTTTTTCCACCCGTCATACATATATTCATCCAGAGCTTTTTTCATCACTGGTGATCAAGGGTAATACGAGCCTGCTATCTGAGCCGGGTTGAGAGTTTGCTTTCTCTATTCATCACGGTTCTTTAGTCACTCGGATCCGGTGCTTACATCAAATCGCATTGGCATATCACTCATTAAGGAAGAGGCATCGCTTTTTGCTGGTTGGCAGAGATAGTACCTGCGTGGCTGATGGGAGGCACTGGCAGGTAAGTTCTGCACATCTGTTGCAAAGTTGCCTAGAAATTACCAACAGTAAAGTCGTATCGTGTAATGCATTGCGCTGCATTGAACACAATGTCGGCATCTGGGTTTGTATATATCGACACTGTATTCATGTCGAATGCACGCGCAAGGTCTCTTGTCTGGTCCGTGAATAATGAATGCGAGTGTTCATGGTGGGTAGATAGACCGTCCTCATAAACGTATCTTACATCGCAATTTGCGGTGTCCTCAAGTTCTAAAAGATGCAATCAAATGTTAACGTTATAGATAAGACAATACTGCTAGCCTTATTCATCGTAGAATAATCAGGTGAAAGGAGTATTCAAACCAGGGGAAAGATGCATTGATACTTTGGCTGCCAGCTTTCACCAAGAACGATTATCAGTAGTTATTCTAAAATTGCCTACCAATCCCACTCGATTTCTTAAGTTTTTTTTAAAACAGGAAACCATATTATTTACAAATCACAAAACATTCAACGATTACGAATGGAGCAATAGCCATCTGCTACTACGGTACAGTGTACATCTAGCTGAGATGCTATTATCCTGCAAATTACACGAAACGTTATATAGCACGTTATATAGCACGTATAGCACGTTATATAACGTTATCCAAACGGTGCGGCGCAGCCGCGCCAGTGTGCATAATCATAGACAATGAAATAGTGGGTCTTATGGCGCGCATTTAGATGTACCTTGCAAGGTCGCTCACCTACGGCAGGTCAAATTCGGGCAACAGACTAAGCGGAGACAATTTCTAAGGAATCATTCAATCTCATGCAGCAACGGAGTGTTAGACGAAGCCATACATCTTTAACACAGTTTCTTAGGCAACACAACAATTTCATGAACAGATTTCGCTGACCTAGGTTCGTATATGCAGGTCAGACCAAGGTCAAAACGAAGCTGTTTTATTACTGTAGAGCTTGTTGTGTGGAGTAGGTTTCTGATCGTCATTTTTAAGTTATTGATAACATGAACCACATTATGCACCCTCCATGAACTTTTTTAAGGTCAGGATATGTCACTGACCTAAACTGACAAACGAGTCAAACAAGGTCACTGCCCTTAGATGAACGCGACCTTTTGCTTAGAACAGCTTTCTAAGTTTTGGGGGCACTTTGGACACCAATTTTGAGTTTGGTCTTGGTTGACTTTACTTCAACTAAAAGCCATGACCTAGGAGCTCCACATTTTGACACAAGTGAGTTCGCATCAAGGCAAATGCACCCTGTGGATTTACTACACCTAGTTCTCTTGCTTGCCGAGATCTCAGGGAGTGAAATTGACCCCCATTCGGGGAAGGGTACTGAACCGGCCACCCAGGCGCGTGTCAACATATAACGTAAATGAGGAACTTTTATATTGGTTACGTCATCCTTTTCCAAACTCATCAGTGCTTACTTTTTCTGTTTTGACAGATGTGACTGCGATTATATAAGCACAATATGCAGGGAACGCTGAGCAGCATCAACCCGCTGGAGGCAGGCTTGACATGCCATCTTCCAAGTATACTCTTCCGGCCCAACAGCCCACCGTCGCACAATGTCCTCTGCATTTGCAGAAAACAAGCTTTACAGAAAATAGAGAAATAAATCTTCATTTACAGTCGCTTTAAAGGGACGAATTTCCTGTTTCAGGCTGTTTTTAAAAGGTCTGACGTTTCCTTCGTCGGGAGTAGCGCTTAGAGGGAGTGCGACAACTTTGTGTACTTTTGTCTCCTAGATCAGCTGCATCCTCCTTAAAAGCACTCCTCAGCGTTATCACTGGAGATGTCTGGTGCTGAGAGCTGGTCCAGAGGATGCCTATGAGGTTTGCCTCAAATGCAACACATTGCATGTTTCCCGTTTGAAAATATTATAGCCAGCATCAGCTATGATAACATAGGCCCACTTATAGCTGTTGGTACACAGACTGCTTTTGACAACATGATTTCTCCATTCAATAAATATGTTCGCCATTACGTCACTGACAGCGTCATGGAACGTGCGTATGTGTATAACAGCACCCACTTTTGGCTCTTCAATCTTCCTAGCGATGCCAGCATGAGACGGAAGTGCTCACTGAGCCAAATATCACTATGTGCTCGTATTTTGTCCCTTTCTCATGATGTTCTTGCATATTCATCCGCAAGTTTAAGATGTTTACTTGCATTCACATACTCAGGTATACCGCTATGAACAAATTATTTTATATTGCAAATCCTATTTCCATAATAATGAGAAAATATGCATAAGTTCTTGTAATATACGGCAAAGAGACGTGATCAGTTTTAAAATCTTGTTTAACTTGCACAACATTCGTTGACAGGCAATTCACGCTCGTGGTATCTAGAAATCGTGCACACGAACGCTAGATATGACCGCCCGACCATTTGATTTAATGCAAGGGTGGAACATTTCCTTCAATGAGCCGGCCACAGTATGGCGTACAGTACAGTATCGTTACCTAAGCGGCACCTGTTGCATGCCATGATTTTTCAGTCGGTGAATAATGAACACTAGCAGAGCACGTTCCTGGTTGCTGAATGAAAGCGCTGCTCGAAACACGAGTCATTCGGGGCTTGTGAGCACAGTGTAATACAGCGGCTCAGTCCTGACCTTTGGCATTAACTATCGCCCGTTCACCCGGGTCCCCGGCGTTGGACGGACGTAAAGCCGCACTAAGGTCACCAATTAGAATGGACGGGCGGTACTGATGTAGTGACGTCACTGCGCCATTGCTTGGAAGCATGTGCACAACATGCATGCTGAGGCTCCGCCCCAGCCGCTGTCCCAAACCTGAGCAAGTGTCACCCGTGCAGTGGCAGAACCCGAACTGTACCTGCGCCCGAACCCTAAACCGAACTCTACCTGTGCAAGCTTAACAGCGGATGAGGCGCGGCGATCTCCCGAAGCGGGGGTTGGGGTACCGAGTCAAGCAACTGCCGAAATGTGGTTAGTGGCGATCTTCCTGCCGGGCTGCGCCGTTTGCCTATCCAGCAGCTTCTTTGATCTGCAGGTGAACGTCACGTACACCAACGCCGCCTTCTCCTCACACGAAGCCGCAAATAGGCAGCAGTGCGCCACGCGCTGCGACCGTCTGGAGCCCGAATACTGCGACGGCTTCCGGTACGGGCCGCGGGGCCGCTGCGAGCTGCTGGTGGACCCCCCACCACTGTCTGCAAAACCGCCGCACCGCCGCCAGGGCTGGAACAGAGCGCCTACTCCCGGCGGGCGACGCGGGTCACGACCTTATGCGCCCCTGGCTGGATCACCTTCAACGGCGGCTGCTACTACAGAAGCACGTCGCAAAACAGCCGCGGTGCGACAAACAAAGTCTGCCGGGATCTGAACCCGTGCTCTAGAGTAACCTCCGTCAACAGTAAGCTGGAAATGACCTTTCTACTGCACCACTCCAGCCGCCCCAATGCCCCTGAGTGGATCGGACCACGTGACTTACCTCCCTGGAGCAACCCGGACGGCACGCCATTTCTGAGCTCCCTTCCAAAAACAGTGGCGACATCCCAAGGCACATGCTTGTATATGCAGGGCCAGTATGTCACAACGGCGCTCACTCAGAGCTCGTGCGGCCCCGAGCTCCGCGCGGTGTGTGAGGCCCCCCAGTCGGCGCGTCTGCCGCGCGGCTGTCCCCCCACCTGGCTGGAGATTGACACCTACTGCTACCTGGCGGTGTCGCAGGCGCTGACCTTCCACCAGGCGGACCAGCACTGCGGCCAGCTGGCGGGTGGCGCCAGACTGGGCCACCCGCATGGGCCGGGCGTCCACACCATCCTGGAAGCCTACGCTTCGCGAGTGGGCATCTCAGGCAACTTCTGGGTGGGCGTCCGCGATGAGGCTTCTGAGGGCACCTGGCAGTCTATGGACGGGTCGGCTTGGCACTTCGCCTGGAGCCCCGTGCACTACCAGCCGAACGGAGGCACCAGTGAGAACTGCGTCACACTGGATGCCGAGCTGGGTGGTGCACATGATTTTTATTGTGGAGAGTCATTCCCTTTCGTATGCCGCCAGCCTACAGCAAGCTAAAGGACGGATAGGGCCCCATACAAGCAGCCTCACTCTTGTTCCGGATCCAGACCGCCAGATGACCCATCGGACCCGGCAGTGACTAACCCGCAGTCGCACTGCGGCACTCCGTGCGCCTTACCGCCGGCCCGAGCGCCCCATTGAGGTCATGCGAGGTCACTGGTCGTCGTACAGTGTGGCCCCGCGAGGCCACTGATCGCTGTACAGTGTGGCCCCGTTATCCTGCAGGTCACGATCACACGCTCCATGCACGTCACTCGGCTGATTGCTCGGGAGTCGGTGACGCCTGCTCCTCCGTGGTTGGCCACTGTTTGGTGTTGCTCGCCAAGCTGCGCCAGGACCGCCAACCCCTTCCGCTGAGTCACACCTTAATTAACGTCACGTCGCGCCTGCAGCGAGGTCACGACCCCGAGATGCGTCGTCCCTTAGTTCTACCGCAGTCTGCGACAACAGGCAATGTTTCGTCCCGCCGTCTCTCCATCAGTCTCACCCGTGTGCAGTGTGTGCTGCCAACGACGGCCCGCCGTCTCTCCATCAGTCTCACCCGTGTGCAGTGTGTGCTGCCAACGACGGCCCGCCGTCTCTCCATCAGTCTCACCCGTGTGCAGTGTGTGCTGCCAACGACGGCCCGCCGTCTCTCCATCAGTCTCACCCGTGTGCAGTGTGTGCTGCCAACGACGGCCCGCCGTCTCTCCATCAGTCTCACCCGTGTGCAGTGTGTGCTGCCAACGACGGCCCGCCGTCTCTCCATCAGTCTCACTCGTGTGCAGTGTGTGCTGCCAACGACGGCCCGCCGTCTCTCCATCAGTCTCACCCGTGTGCAGTGTGTGCTGCCAACGACGGCCCGCCGTCTCTCCATCAGTCTCACCCGTGTGCAGTGTGTGCTGCCAACGACGGCCCGCCGTCTCTCCATCAGTCTCACCCGTGTGCAGTGTGTGCTGCCAACGACGGCCCGTCAGACGTCAATAGCGGACCTGATTTGTGAACACTGAACTCACTGATGACGACGTCAATACATCAATATTGTCGCCCTGAATCCATTGTCGTAGGTTTTGAGAAGAAATTTGCGCCCTAAGTGCGATAAAAGTGAGTTAAATCGCCGGCAAATGAGCATGTTGAATGCACGCTTCTGACTGGTTGTTACGGTCGTGAAGCAACATGTCCGTAATGGCCGATCATTACGGCTCGTTGGCGGCACCATTTGTGTCTCGCAGCGTCGTTGGCCTGGCACGCGATCTGCGGCCATGTACCGACAGGTTCTTGAAGGCCTCGCATTGGTTGACGTGGTGTGGTGTGGTCGTACGCCAGGTTGCCCAGCCTGGCGTAAGAGCGAGCCCCATCTGTGTTAACTGTGGTTCACTCTCCTTAATGCTGAAATGCTTTGCAATGGTTTCAGTGTACTCTTGGCTGCACTTGGCGGCACTCCGTTAAGAACAGGACAAACGTTGCAAACCTATTTATAGAGGATCATTGACCGCGTTATTCCCATTCCAGAGTCCAGGGGCCCAACCATATTTCGAACTCGGACCCCTTGCGTGAAAGCCGAACGCGGTAACCACTCAGCCATTACGCCCCCGGAAATGACTGTTAAAAAAAAATGATATGAAATGGGAGTGTTCCACAACTGTGCGGGGTTTTGAACTGAAACAGCCATCTTGAAGACCATTGGGTGCAGTTTACAGCCCTGCCCTTCTTAGGGCATACAACTCACCAGTTTCTAAGCTACACGTCCGCGAATATGCGCAAACTATGTCGTGCAGACCATGTCAGGGTTACGCAGACATCCATGACGCTACAAACACGTCATCTAAATTCTGTCATTTCACTGGCCATGCGACGTTCAAAGCCAATGCAAATATAGCTGTTCATTACTGACAATCGTAAGGAGGATTACCAGACATAACGGCCATCAGCTGGCTCTCAATCAGTGTTGTTTGCAAGCTATGCAAGATTCCAATTCAATAGCGTGTTCGGTTACTTGGATAAGACCCCTTTTGACCAGTAATTACCATTTCAGAGATATGGGATGTAGGAGGGTGGGTAATGGTCGGTAGCGATGGAGCAGGTCTACACGCCCCTGCAGAGCCAATCGCCGATCATTATCGCAGGGACCCCTCTGTGGGTACGCGCTGAGCGCTCGGCTGAGGCCCACTCGTGGCTGACGCATGCAGCCCGCCCCGGACAAGCGGGGTGTCGCGAGGATGCATGATGAAGCAGAGTGGGGAACAATAGGCCCCAATGCAATGTTTTTTGTTTTTGTTTTTTTGATTACAACCCTTTCGACCAGAAATTATCATTTCAAATCTATGGGATGAAGGAAGATGGTTAACGGTGGGGCAGACTTGCATGCGCTTAGAGGTCAACCGCTGAGTTTTAACCCGCCGCACATGCACACCGCCCCAACACAAGGTACGCTTTGCGCTACAAAATGCAAGAAGTCATGCATTCTTTCCATTTAAACTGGAAATAAAAATGTAAACCGGATAACTTAAGAAAAAAAGCATCCTTAGCTCATGGATAAATATGCAAAAACACCACAAGAAAGGGTCAAAACACGGGCGCGCAACCATAGTTAGCTGAGCGAACACTCCCAGCCCGTGTACCATCTCTAGGGAAATTGAAGAACTTCTAGTCAGTGCTATCATGCAAACGTTCTGTGACGCAATCAAACAGTGCCGCATTGAGGAGAATGTTTACTCAATAAAGTTTGTTGCCTAGGGTAGCCACTTCTACTTAAAAGCCAACCATTAGATATAAGTGAGCCTATTCCATCATATCGGATGCTCGCTTCTATGCCTTGAAATGTGGAACATTTCATTTAAACGCTAATACCGTATCAATATTTATGCACCAATCAAGGAATATGTCGAAAGATCACGGAACGACCATGGCGAATGCGAAGAGTAAAAGCGCCGGTAATCAACCGAATTAGTGTCACAGGAGTTGCATGCTGGCAGTTCACATCACAAAAAGCAGTGCTGGGGGGGGGGGGGGGGGGGGATAGCAAGTCATACTGGCAGCCGCAGCAGAGGAGGCAGCCACAGCTGAAGCACATAGTGTGAGTGTATGTGTGTGGGGGGGGGGGGGGGGGGGGGAAGGCGTAAGCTGGGCCGCCGCTACTAAGAGCGTAGACTCAGTCGAGAGATACCGCTTCATACCAGACGTACACACCAGTACCCGGTAGGAAGAAGTTTACCCCCAATATATAAAGTTAGAACTAACAATTGCCACAACCCAGCATATGAATGCAAGTAAAGAACATAAAATCACGGACAGATAGTGTTTTTGTAATTGATGGGGAGGAGAGCCTGAGCCGGAGGTCCGAATGACCTCCCACAAAGTTTTTTTGCTCGACGAATTTAGCCCACTTTTGATAAGAGCCAATTTTTATCATCATTCCTTATCTTTAGAAATCTTCGTTGATTTAAGCAGGATGATAGTCATGCAGAGGCTGATCTAGAGGGGGCGGGGGGGGGGGGCGGGGGTTGAAGGTTGGGCAGTGCACTGGAGGCACGTTTCCGTCTGATCGGAAAAGAAAGGTGCCCTCTAGAGGCCGCCGTAAGGCTCGGAAAGCACCCTCCTATGGCGACCATTGGCAGCGGCATGTATTTTTGGGAGTGGGGTTCGGAGAAGGGGCTAGTCGTAAAGGATTTAGACCATTTTTGCATTCCGGGGCTTTTCAGTTTAATTTCCCAAAACATTCGCGCGTCTTATTGCCAAAGGTGTGCAAAATTTATTGCATTGTTTATCTGCTCAGCGGTTACGATTTTAGCTGGAGGTGGGGGCAAACACGGCTGTTCATTACGAGGGCAGCGGTGATCCGGTGTGGATCGTTGCATTACTCTACAAGACGACAGTCTGTTTTGTATTTATGAGGGGTGGTACACATCTGGTTACATTATTAGGTTATTTCGGCTTGTTATATCATCGGCTCGTAAATGCAACCAAATTACATTACGGGGCTCGCGTTACATCTGGTTACATTACGGGGCTCGCGAGGCATGCCAGATTACGCAACCTGTCCAAATTTGCGTTTTTTTCTTCTCATTTTCATTGAATGTATTACCGTGCGAACACACCAATCGTCGTGGCGGAAGCCCAACTTTGGTAGAACGCTGAAGTTACGCTGACCACATTCGTGATGAGGCGACACGCGTGGTGGTACGCTAACCTGCCAGGATACGTGTTCGTATAGGACTCGTCAAAGGAGGCATTTGGACGTCGGCCTAAAAATGGCAGCCTGGTTACGAGGCGGCCGACAGTCGCATGGTAACCGGGCACGGTAAAGGTCGTTTCGTTAGGTCGGATTCGGGACCGAGGCAAAGTGGATGTTGAACATGCATTGTAATAGCGGGATAGTGCGTTCAGAGTGTACGCGATACGTCATGCTCAGCATGGAATCATACCTTCAAGTAAAACAACATTAGGGTCATAGCCCACCTGGTGGAGGCAGACCACCATAGAAGAGAATCAACTGTCGCTTGGCATAAGAGTTTCTACGAGACCTAAGAATCAGTAGCGTCAATATCACGTTGGGGTAATGGGGAGCAAAACCGTCTCGGCTGAGATTCGACGAAAAAACAAAACAAATAAAAAAACGGGCCGAATATAAAAATAGTTTGCCTCCAATGCTTCAGGTTCCCCCTCTCTTAAGGGAAATCATTTTGAGGCTGCATGGTCAAGTACTCAGCTGCACCCTCCATGGCGACGTTGCTACGAAGAGGGATCAAAGAAGATAGTGTTCATCTGATGGCAAACTTTTCCGACGCTTTTGTAATGTTAAAACCAAAATATTGGGAGCGGGGTCAAACCAGCAATGGGAGTGAGGGTGAGGGTGGATGGGGGGTGGGGGGGGGGGAGAGGGCTGGACCCTTACAAAATAAAGGAAACGACTCCAGTATGGATGAATATGCAAGAACACCACGGGAAAGGGTT